TGGGAAAATTCTACTACCAGTCCTTCATCACCTTACACGAAATAGGGTGAATACATCTCATTAAAATTAACACTAAACAAATAAATATAAGCCTTAATTAGCCGAAGTCGCTTAAGCTGATATAAGTAGTCATAATTGAACTTTCATACACTCAGAGGAATAGGACTCAAGATGCCATTTAATTTTACTTAACCATGCCTTTTAAAAGGCTCGACCATAGATCTGATCTCATTTTCATCAGCACCACAAACGGAATTCGATACCGGATTGTGAGTATCGTGGCGAGGTTTCAACTCAGCTACTCCGCCATACGTGATGTGGCAATCAGGCAAAGGCAGCTTCTCCCAAATACAACTTATAGTTTGGAAGGAGACATGTATTTCCTTGTGCAATCGACGACTACTAACTTTCGAAGCCATTAAGATAAACTGGGATTTGAAGAATTCCCTAGTGATGTCTTGTGACCTGACTTTCCATTTCGAAGTAAAAGTTGGTTTGAAGGAATTCGTGATGCCGTCTCATCGGAAGACGAAGAGGAGGATTGCCGTATAGGGAAGAATGTTGTATTCTCCGTCCTGCGACACCGATGAAATTGTGCTAAGCTTTTGTCTGTACTGGGACAGACATAATCAGAGCAATAATCCATACTTTACGAAATAGAGCAAAAATATACAAAATCAATAGAAAAGGTGGCCGGCTGTAGCCTTAGTTGCTTTTTTATACACCTAACCTTGTGAACTTAATTGGGCATCACATGATTAAGGCGATTACCTAAAACCTACTCTACATGCTTGCAAATGAGTGAAATTATTTCATTAACCGGAAGTGAATTTGGTGACAGTTGTTAACTGATGTAATCTATTTTTCGTTCATAAGTAGGCTTTCTAGACAAATTAATCAGCATACGATCCTCTAATTTTAACTCATGTTTGGGCTTGCGTTATTGTATATTGTGCCTATGTTATGTTCATGTCATGGGAAGTATGACAATCCTAGTAAGAAACGGGCTAATCCAGCCTCCTCTTGCTCAGTAGCTCTTACTGATCTTCCTCTCTCGCCTCTTCCCCAAGCCCATTCAACAGCAGCAAAAAATCCCTTCTTAGTTTTTGACACTCATTCATTCTATTCGGGACGTTGTCTGCTTTGTCAATTTCTATAGACTCCTTAATCTTAATCTTTGATGTGAAGTCCCCAAAATCAGCAAAACATTGTATTTCGAACCGGTCATTTGAATGTCCTGTATTAACCATGGGTTCAGCGAACTCTGATTTTTGGACCCTTAACGTTTTACAAGCGGTTTTTTTGTTTGCATAGTCTATTCTGGATGGATCGGCAGGTCTTTCCCACATATACTAAAGAAAATGTTAGTTTGGCTTTATACATCGTTTGGATGTTCCACTTCCTGAATAGATCATCCAACCTTTTTGCAAGCTGACAGGAAAGCAAAAGCAGAAACCGATTAGAACGGTCCAACTGTCTATCCCGCCCCAGATAGCAATCTCGCCTCATTTTGCAATTGACAATCGAAATGTAATTATCTACTAATCCTAATGTGCAATTGTTTTGAAACAATATATGCATCGATCTACCGATCTCCTGGTCTCTGTTGTTTACATCTGCCAGACGTAGAATCCTTATTAGTATTGATTTTATAAATCATATTTTAACTCTATGTGTATTATTGGAGAAGAATTTAATAAAAGGAAACTCGTTTGTGTGGGTTTTCTATACACTTCCCTGCCTTACTTATCACATTCTTTGCTTACCAATACATCCAAAAAAGGTAATTTATTTTCTTTTTCTAACTCAATGTTAAATATAGTATCGGCATTTATCCTATTTTTAGCGTAAGAAATTCACCTAAACTAAATATAAAGGGAAATTACCACTGCTTCAGTAGTTCTTTCATTTAGATCATTTTTGAGCCCTCGTTCTAGATCAAGCTGTTGCAGGATTTTGTGCTTAATCCAGAAGAGGTGAAGAAAAGTTGGGTTTTGAGGAATCTTTTGTTTCATAAATGTTGAGCTTACTTCCATTTCGAGTGAAAGTGTTGAATGATGAGATTCGAAGGTCAGTTCCACCAAAAGACGACGGCGGATTCCTCTTGACCAGCTGTCGATTGGCTTTACTGGAAGATTCATGCTGACGCTGTTTTGAGGCAATCTCGAGTCCTCTTGACCAGCTGTCGATTGGCTTTACTGGAACATTCATGCTGACGCTGTTTCCGAGGCAATCTCCTGCTTGACCAGCTGTCGATTGGCTTTACTGGAACATTCATGCTGACGCTGTTTCCGAGGCAATCTCCTTCGATTCCTGTGAAAAGGTGCTAAGCTTTCGTCCGTCATATGACGAACATCATCAGAGCAAGTTATCATCGTCACAACAGAAAAGATGCTAAGATTTGTCCGTCATATGAAGGACATTATCAGAGCGAGGTAACATCGTCACAACAAAATCCAATCCAACGAGTCAAGAATTTTGTTCTGACGATGATTCTTTGCTCTGATGATGTCCGTCATATGACGGACGAAAGCTTTGCATCTCTTCACCGGAATCGAAGGAGATTGCCT